ATACACAACATTAATACATAAATATTTAACTCAGAGCATTATCATGTTAGTATTCTTCATCGGAAGAGACATCCGAAGCATCCGAAGAGCTGTATCCTTCCTCGTCCTCATGTTGTTGCTTATCAGTATCGATATCCGGTTCCTTCAATAATTTGAGTACTTCAGAAGGTAAATGTGTCTTCCTTGCTATCGAGGGCTGTTTAATCTGCGATATTAAAGAATCAGAAGAAACTAGTAACATTTGCAGGATATCTTCTAAATTTCTTTCGTGCGAACATTTCCTGGTGTGATCGAGTCTGTATCTTCGCACATCTTTGTGCCGACCTCTTGGGCATAGATAACAATCCGATAGGCAGATTCTGTAATTTTTCCGTCATGGATCAGTATCTTGTGGACACTTGTAGGCATACAGTACCATGGATATAAATTAACATATAAATTTGCTCTTTCCATGGTATATTTATCAAATGCCTCAACATTCACTGTCTATCCACAGGACAAGGTGTACAAAAATTATATAAAAATCGGCGAATAAGATCTTCATTAATTCCGGTAATATTCGCCGATATTTCAGGATTTTCAAAGAATCGTCGTGCAGTGTTGCCATCTTTAGAAGTTCCAGAACCTCTCGGTCTCGGTTGATCTACAAGAAGACCTAGTTGTAATCTGAAATATGTTAAAATTTCCTTCTTTCTGATTTCGAATGTTTCTTTATCTTTTGCAATAACCTGACATTTTTTTTTGGTAGCCTATATGCAATGTGCAAAAGAGATTAAAAGAATCGTATATAGACGTGGAGAGTTGACAACCCAAACCGGAAGGGGGGGGTGTCCGGACAAACAGTGGTAAGATTTAAATTGTCCACGTCCTTCGAAACAGCTCCACATACATAGCAGTTTTGTGATGATTGTTCTTTTAATGAACTGCATACCTTTCCGTCAACCATTGCCATCACAAATGTTTGGTTGACAAACAGTTCACTTCCATTATGATTTAATTTGGTTGGGGTCAGTAGTTCAATTTCTTTCTCAAAGTTTTCAATTTCTCTTACTGTCAAATCGGTGGTCTCTTTTCCCATTAATAATTTTGTTGGCCTGCAGAGCCTTGTGGACGAAGGCCTTGGGTTTCGCCATAAAATTTTGTTTCGTGTGTTTGAGGAGAATGTTGCATAAAGCTGCAGGAGCATATATGAGATTACAAGGGCATATATGAGATTACAAAAATACTGGCATCACTAGGGGTAGTGTAGTTGAATCTTTGTTTTTTAGGTGCTATGGCCACTATAACCACAACAACCCCACTTAAAAATTACATGCAATTGTTCATTACTGGATACATATTCTTTTATCACTTGTGAAATTATAAGCCTCTCAATAGTTTTATCTGTAACTGACTGTAGCCTTACTTATATGTCAGAATACCTCATTTTGGCCTATTTTCGGATGTTAAGATACTGCTGCTTTGTGAATCTATTTTATACAAAAAAAAGAGCTAAAGCCTCCTCTGGCGTAAATGTACTGCTGCTTTGTAAGCCCTTTTTGGTGTTTCTGTCATTCCCTTTAGAATAACTGCAGCATCTCTCTTACCAGATGCATGTAAAGAATATTTTGCAGCATATACCAGTTCTTCGCTTGAGTGAATTTCCACTAAAGGCTGAATTTTTTTCCGTTTTCCTCAATCACTACATTCTTGAAAAAGTTTTCTTCGCCTACCCCTGACCCCACGTGTCGATGGCTCATCCCTCTTACTTTTGTTTTATCTGCTCTACTAATGTTTCTGGCAAATTTAGATTCACATCTAACCAGTTAGAAATCTTATCTAAAAAGAAATTCTTATTGCGGTGACACTGTACCCACTTTTTATTAAAATTGCTACGCAGATTCTTCAAAATCACTCTTATAAACGGTTTCTATTTTCAGAATAACAATATCTAATCTTTTAAGAATATAAGCATAAAGTTCATCACAATCTGTATTCCTTTTGCACAACAACGGATATATTTCTTATAATTCTGGAGAAAAAAAATTCATGACACTCACATTAGCAAAAACTAGCAAACGAAACAGGCCTCATCTTAAAGTGCATACTCTAATCTATATTTTTACGTGAATTTGGTCGCCCCTCTCGATTAGTCTAGCAACTAAAATTCTATGTGAACATCGGAAAGATGAAAAATTATCAGTAAAAGCGCCATAATTGAGTTAGCGTGCCATATGTATAAAAAGAATGGAGATATTTATACAAACCCTATTACAAAATATACTACATACGTTCCTCAATAACTTCCGGTTGCCATACAGTAGATAGTCCGATGTTCTGATAGAGGGGCACAAGGTTTTAATCCCAAGAGTTAGCTTCTATTGTTACCGTCATGTTCACTTCGTTGCCTGATATGTAAGGTTCTATAGCAAAATGCGTGCATGTAAAAGCATTTCTGTAAATACATTCGAACTTATCTGAAATATCAGTCACGGAAAACGTGCTGATGCTATCGTTTACTGGCAAACCTGTGCTAAGCGTGATACTGTAATTAAAATGCTGCTGCGTGATACCAGCTTTCTGTAAAAATATGTGCCAATTCCTATCTTCTGTAATCAACTTGTAATAGAGGAACACTTCATCCTTGTAGAGTATTAGTGCCATAGTCGTACTAGTAGCCCGGCATCCGAAGCTACGACTTACCATAAGATGCGAGTGTGCACCCCTCAAGTGTTCCGCTAACTCATCTTTAGTTCCAAACCAAAGGCAAATCATATTTGGGATCTTGTTTACTGGGCAATGGATGGCAGTCGGTAGGATGGGGATGGGGTAGGGGTCTGGGTCTGGGTCGGGCTGCCTAGATGTGGAAGGAGTCGCGTGGCCACCAGGAACTGATAGTCTGCCCGGTTTAGATTCTTCTACCTGTGGAGATAGCAGGCAGAATGTATAAATCTAGCCGTATATAATTTTGAAGTTTATAACCAACCTCCAGAACCAGCATGTTGCGAGGAGGTAGGTGTCTAATTTCATGAATAAAATTGCCCTTGTTATCAAGTTTGTTTTGTATGTCTACCATTAGATTATCCTGACCTGTTCGCTTGTGATAAAGACGTTTTGATTTCTTCAGAATTTATATGTTACGACTTTCTGTCCTATAATTTCTTTTCAATCTCATTCCTGTGAAGGATTCCAAGCTAATATAAATACGAGTATGCCCACGTATGTTTACCGTAAAGCAAATTTATAATATTAATCTTTTAAAATCTTCATTATTTTACCTCACTAAACACGAAACAACGCGTGTGATCTGCTTTAATTTCATCTGTATTTAATATTATATTTGGTATGAGCGGACATCTCTGCTGTCACTTAACTGATCTCTCAGAAATTCGAAGTTTCTAACATTTTTAAATGTTTATTGTTTGTTTGTTGGCATAGGACTACCATACAACCAACTTGCTTCCAAGCTGTCTGGTACACGACTACTAATATAAACATCTCTTCCTCCGTTAACACTGACATAAGAGAAGCTGGGGTTCGCTAGTCCTGTTTAAAACATGTATTCTTGCAATATTCTTATAGAAGGGATCTTTATTAACAGAATCCAAGCAAAAATGCTAGATCTTGGTTTTATCCCAATGTGCGATCCTTAGGTAGGAATTTCGTCTCTTTGGATTAAGACAACACACGACGACTTATTATTCGAAATTTGACTGCAGATGTAATATTGCAATGGTAATGTTTAGTGACCGTCCTGTTGGTTTAACGATGGTTACCTGCAGATGCAAAATTTTGCGAGCTGTGTCCACCTCAAAGTAGCCTTCAAGAGCTGAAAATTTATACGAACACCTGCCATCCAGGGCGCAAATATGGTTCTCTTTACTAACACTATTACAAATAGTATTCAATATGATATATTCGTTTATGCTATTACTTAATAATGGCTTTAAACAATCGAGTTTTTCTTAAATTCTTTGTTGTCAGAGTGCTGTATCAACAGCCAGAAGGCCAATTACAGATACAGCACAAGAGATACGCCAAAGGATTATAACAATATTTTGAACGGAATGACAAATGCAGGTGCATACAAATAAGGTATTCTTATGTTGTACAAATGTCAAGTAACTGTTTCTGAACTTATTTAACACATTTATTTAATAAATTGTCTTTTTCATCTTTCGATACAAAAGTATTGCCCATGACTAAGTTTACAGATAAAAATAGCCAAAGTAATCAAAACCGTCGCTTTATTTGAATTAACATTGCGAGTTCTTCAGTTGAAACACATTTTGCAGTTTTGCAGAATATGGAAATTTTAAGGTCTTACTAACAGATGTGACATTTTTCATTGAATTACGTTTAACATATCCTGGGTTTCTTATTACTTAATACTAAATGTCATATCTCAATAAAAACACATTTAATGACATCTTAAAAAAACTACTAATAAGAATATAACAACATTTTTAAGGCTTTCGTCCTGGTTCGTGTGATTAACTTCACTCAAGACACTGAGCTTAACATTCAGGTCTGCGTTCACACTAATGCACAAAATAATCAAACTCAATTTTTGGCACTTAAGATTCTTTACCTGTTGTCAGTATTGTACACATTTTATATGGAAGTGCTGTTTCTGAAGTAGTCTACAGACACGTAAAATAAGTTTACGTATCAAATTCAGATTCTTAATTTACTTAAAATTAATTGTCATTTCTCAGTTAAAACACACTTTACGATGATTTAAAAATACTAATTTGCATTGTCAAAAAAACAATTTGAGTCATTGGTTAATATTTCTGGACGTCAATACAGTTCTTATATTCGGGCCTGTTACATCAGTAATTTTTTACGTAAAATAAAAAAGGCCTTAGAAGTAAAATGAATTTTTGTAATACTTAAGGTTCTACTTCCGCTTGCCATACAGTAGATAGTCCGATGTTCTGATAGAGGGGCACAAGGTTTTAATACCAAGAGCGAGCTTCTATTTTTACCGTCATGTTCACTTCGTTGCCTGATATGTAAGGTTCTATAGCAAAATGCGTGCTACTAAAAGCATTTCTGTAAATACATTCGAACTTATCTGAAATATCAGTCACGGAAAACGTGCTGATGCTATCGTTTACTGGCAAACCTGTGCTAAGCGTGATACTGTAATTAAAATGCTGCTGCGTGATGCCAGCTTTCTGTAAAAAAATGTGCCAATTCCTATCTTCTGTAATCAACTTGTAATAGAGGAACACTTCATCCTTGTAGAGTATTAGTGCCATAGTCGTACTAGTAGCCCGGCATCCGAAGCTACGACTTACCATAAGATGCGAGTGTGCACCCCTCAAGTGTTCCGCTAACTCATCTTTAGTTCCAAACCAAAGGCAATACATATTTGGGATCTTGTCTACTGGGCAATGGATGGCAGTCGGTAGGATGGGGATGGGGTAGGGGTCTGGGTCTGGGTCGGGCTGCCTAGATGTGGAAGGAGTCGCGTGGCCACCAGGAACTGATAGTCTGCCCGGTTTAGATTCTTCTACCTGTGGAGATAGCAGGCAGAATGTATAAATCTAGCCGTATATAATTTTGAAGTTTATAACCAACCTCCAGAACCAGCATGTTGCGAGGAGGTAGGTGTCTAATTTCATGAATAAAATTGCCCTTGTTATCAAGTTTGTTTTGTATGTCTACCATTAGATTATCCTGACCTGTTCGCTTGTGATAAAGACGTTTTGATTTCTTCAGAATTTATATGTTACGACTTTCTGTCCTATAATTTCTTTTCAATCTCATTCCTGTGAAGGATTCCAAGCTAATATAAATACGAGTATGCCCACGTATGTTTACCGTAAAGCAAATTTATAATATTAATCTTTTAAAATCTTCATTATTTTACCTCACTAAACACGAAACAACGCGTGTGGTCTGCTTTAATTTCATCTGTATTTAATATTATATTTGGTATGAGCGGACATCTCTGCTGTCACTTAACTGATCTCTCAGAAATTCGAAGTTTCTAACATTTTTAAATGTTTATTGTTTGTTTGTTGGCATAGGACTACCATACAACCAACTTGCTTCCAAGCTGTCTGGTACACGACTACTAATATAAACATCTCTTCCTCCGTTAACACTGACATAAGAGAAGCTGGGGTTCGCTAGTCCTGTTTAAAACATGTATTCTTGCAATATTCTTATAGAAGGGATCTTTATTAACAGAATCCAAGCAAAAATGCTAGATCTTGGTTTTATCCCAATGTGCGATCCTTAGGTAGGAATTTCGTCTCTTTGGATTAAGACAACACACGACGACTTATTATTCGAAATTTGACTGCAGATGTAATATTGCAATGGTAATGTTTAGTGACCGTCCTGTTGGTTTAACGATGGTTACCTGCAGATGCAAAATTTTGCGAGCTGTGTCCACCTCAAAGTAGCCTTCAAGAGCTGAAAATTTATACGAACACCTGCCATCCAGGGCGCAAATATGGTTCTCTTTACTAACACTATTACAAATAGTATTCAATATGATATATTCGTTTATGCTATTACTTAATAATGGCTTTAAACAATCGAGTTTTTCTTAAATTCTTTGTTGTCAGAGTGCTGTATCAACAGCCAGAAGGCCAATTACAGATACAGCACAAGAGATACGCCAAAGGATTATAACAATATTTTGAACGGAATGACAAATGCAGGTGCATACAAATAAGGTATTCTTATGTTGTACAAATGTCAAGTAACTGTTTCTGAACTTATTTAACACATTTATTTAATAAATTGTCTTTTTCATCTTTCGATACAAAAGTATTGCCCATGACTAAGTTTACAGATAAAAATAGCCAAAGTAATCAAAACCGTCGCTTTATTTGAATTAACATTGCGAGTTCTTCAGTTGAAACACATTTTGCAGTTTTGCAGAATATGGAAATTTTAAGGTCTTACTAACAGATGTGACATTTTTCATTGAATTACGTTTAACATATCCTGGGTTTCTTATTACTTAATACTAAATGTCATATCTCAATAAAAACACATTTAATGACATCTTAAAAAAACTACTAATAAGAATATAACAACATTTTTAAGGCTTTCGTCCTGGTTCGTGTGATTAACTTCACTCAAGACACTGAGCTTAACATTCAGGTCTGCGTTCACACTAATGCACAAAATAATCAAACTCAATTTTTGGCACTTAAGATTCTTTACCTGTTGTCAGTATTGTACACATTTTATATGGAAGTGCTGTTTCTGAAGTAGTCTACAGACACGTAAAATAAGTTTACGTATCAAATTCAGATTCTTAATTTACTTAAAATTAATTGTCATTTCTCAGTTAAAACACACTTTACGATGATTTAAAAATACTAATTTGCATTGTCAAAAAAACAATTTGAGTCATTGGTTAATATTTCTGGACGTCAATACAGTTCTTATATTCGGGCCTGTTACATCAGTAATTTTTTACGTAAAATAAAAAAGGCCTTAGAAGTAAAATGAATTTTTGTAATACTTAAGGTTCTACTTCCGCTTGCCATACAGTAGATAGTCCGATGTTCTGATAGAGGGGCACAAGGTTTTAATACCAAGAGCGAGCTTCTATTTTTACCGTCATGTTCACTTCGTTGCCTGATATGTAAGGTTCTATAGCAAAATGCGTGCTACTAAAAGCATTTCTGTAAATACATTCGAACTTATCTGAAATATCAGTCACGGAAAACGTGCTGATGCTATCGTTTACTGGCAAACCTGTGCTAAGCGTGATACTGTAATTAAAATGCTGCTGCGTGATGCCAGCTTTCTGTAAAAAAATGTGCCAATTCCTATCTTCTGTAATCAACTTGTAATAGAGGAACACTTCATCCTTGTAGAGTATTAGTGCCATAGTCGTACTAGTAGCCCGGCATCCGAAGCTACGACTTACCATAAGATGCGAGTGTGCACCCCTCAAGTGTTCCGCTAACTCATCTTTAGTTCCAAACCAAAGGCAATACATATTTGGGATCTTGTCTACTGGGCAATGGATGGCAGTCGGTAGGATGGGGATGGGGTAGGGGTCTGGGTCTGGGTCGGGCTGCCTAGATGTGGAAGGAGTCGCGTGGCCACCAGGAACTGATAGTCTGCCCGGTTTAGATTCTTCTACCTGTGGAGATAGCAGGCAGAATGTATAAATCTAGCCGTATATAATTTTGAAGTTTATAACCAACCTCCAGAACCAGCATGTTGCGAGGAGGTAGGTGTCTAATTTCATGAATA